CTTTGGGAAAAAAACTTCGAATTTTGTACTGTATTCTTCAATGTTAACAGCCAAATACAGGTTATCATTTGGATTACACTGAGGGCTTCTTGAATGTGTGTGTTTTCTTACCTGTTTGGGGGGGGAGAGTAAAGCTCTCAAACTAGCGGAACATATGTTGGTGTTTGGTGCGAGAAAAGACCAAAGATGTGGGGGCGTCTGGGTGGCTCAGTCAGTCAAGTGTCCAACTTCGGCTCAGGTCATGATCTCGTGGTTCATGGGTTCGGGCCCCGTGTCAGGCTCTGTGCTGACAGTTCAGAGCCTGGAACCTGCTTCGGATTCTGTCTCCCTCTCTCTCTGCCTCTCCCCTGTTCCTGCCTTCTCTCTCTCTCTCTGTCTCAAAATTAACAAAAAAATAAAAAATAAATCAAATAAAGGATGAGAGAATAAAGTTTCTTGCTGGATTTAGATAAACCTGGCCTCGATGGATACATTATTTGGTCACGGGAGGAAAAAATGGCAATGCCTTAACTAAACATAAGTGACTACCAGGTGCTTAGCATGATGCTGCCCTAGAAAGTACTAGAGAGAACTGGGGGAGACACGGCCTCAAGAAACATTAAGTCTAGCAAGTGAAGATGTGTAAAAACTCACAATGATATAAATTAATGAAAATAATAACAGATATAAAGGAAAACCTGATATAAAGTTTAAAAGGGTGTATCAGCTGTAGTTTGGAATGAGACTTGAAAAAGGAGTGCTTTCCAGATGAACATACAAAGGAAAAACATAAGCTAAGGGAGAAAACACGTGCAAACAGAAAGTTCGCGGAAGTGAGATGCGCCAAAAGGACACTCAACCAGTTAAAGTTGTGATGAGAAATGGCGAGAGACAAGGCCAGAGTCTGGATTAAGAAGGGTCTTAATAGAACTCATCACATTTACTTTATCCTGTAAGTGAGGGGTCCCATGACTTTCTCATTCATGAAGCCCTTCGTCTTTCAGAGATTCTTTCAGTGTGCCCCTTGGCCAAACAAACCAAACCAAACCAAACCAAACCAAAACAAAACAAAAACAGGTCCATTAAGAAGTAGTTAGATTAGAACAACTTAAGGGGCATTTATTTCCTAACAATGTGTGCTTAGGAAAAATAACACAAAAATGGAAAGACTATTTTTATTGTGCTCTTAAATAACCAGTTACTAAGTGGATACGCATGCCTGTTGGGCATTGTACACATTCTCGAAACTTGCTCTGGAAACTTGCAGTCAGATTACACCTCACTACCCTCATTTCTTACTCCATAATGATTTCCATGTGATACTTAGTATCACAGCAAATGCCAGAAACCCACTTCATAAAGATGTATCATGGAAAGGAATGCAGGGTGATCTAACTTTGAAACTTTGGACTACCTTGGGCTAGTAGTTTCCATGGTGTCCAATAGGGAGCAACTATCGCTGTTTTCCTTTGCAAATCTCAACTATCCTGTGGTCCCCCGTGGGGTCACCACAGCACCCTGGCACAGCTGGAAAATCCAAAAAGACTTTGCACAAATCGCTGACATAATCTAACTTGCATGTTTAAAATGCCCTGATGCCTTTGTGAGGGTGGTGAGACCAGGATCCTGGTAAGATCATGGCAAACATCGGGTAGGAAATGAGGATGCGAATTGCACCACGGGTGAAGACGTGACAAGAGGCAGAGTGGGGTCCATCGAGCCACAGCTCTTGCAACTAAATGATATGAAGGAGTGAGGCGAGTGTCACAAGAGGGAAAGCAGAGGAGTTACTTTTCCAACACGGGCAGAGTGTAGTTAGTGATACTGTTTAGCAGAACGTGTGTTGAGTATTTCGATAATCGTGCTTGAATCTAATTGGTTGCCCTTGCAATCCTGCATTTTATTTCATGCATGGAAAACATCATTTTGAGAGGGCCCATTAGGCTCCACCAGAATGCCAAAAGGTTAAAACCATCTACTGACTATAGGATATACAAGTGCGAAATTCAGGAGAAACAGGAAAAATGTAATTAAACGTACATAGTGCATGTAAAAGTTGCATAGATGTTTTTAGCTTGTGGTGGAAGCTATGGGTGTAGATACAAGTTTTCAAGGAAAAGTAAGGGGTTGAAGATCAAGGGCAGAAGCCTAGAACACAAACACTTCAGAGGTTCAGAGGTTCAGAACGTTGAAAGTGGTCCCGGGGGAAAAACATTTAAAGGGACAGGGAGTGAACAGAACCAAGAAAGTGGTGCTACGGAGACAAAGAGAAAAAAGTATTGGGCAGGTGGAATGTAAGAAAGATAGAGATTTGAACAAGTATCCAGGGAACTTTGATATTAGTAATGTTTTGGTGATCTTAGAAAGTCCAATAAATTAGCATGGATAGAAGGAACAATGTCATGAAGGGCAGAGAATGAAGCAGATTCACATGGGTAGGATTACGGTTTCCTAGAAATCCGGTTCTTTTTGAAGATTAATTAACCAGTTACGATAACTGTTACTAGTTTCAGGTGGACCATATCATGATTTAGCAATTCTATCCATGACTCAGTGTTCATCATGGTAAGTGTGCCCTTGATCCCCTCCCCTCACCCTCTCCCCGTTGGTGACAAGCAGTTTGCTCTCTGTAGTCCAGGGTCTGTTTTTTATTTTTCCCTTTTTTTTGTTTCTCAAATTCCGCCTGAGTGAAACCATATAATATGTCTAATTTCACTTAGCATTATACTCTCTAGGTCCATCCATGTTGTTGCAAATGGCAAGATCTCATTCTTTTTTATGGCTGAGTAATATTCTGAAACACATACACACACACACACCCCCCTTATGTCCATTCATCTATCGATGGACACTTGGGTTGCTTCTCTATCTTGGCCTTTCTAAATGATGCTGCCATAGACATAGGGGCCCATGTGGCTCCCTGAATTAGTGTTTCCAATACCCAGTAGTGGAATTACTGCGACATATTCTATTTTATTTTTAATTTTGTGAGGAACCTCCATACCGTTTTCCACAGTGGCTGCACCAATTTACATTCCCGCCAACAGTGCATGAGTGTTCCTTTTTCTCAACACCCTTGCCAACGCTTCTTCCCTTCTTCCCTCTCTTTTTTATTTTAGCCATTCTGACAAGTGTAAGGTGGTATCTTGGTTGGGGGTAGGGGTGGGGGACAACAGCTTAAACGTGGAGATAGGTCCAGGGGGTTAAACTTTTAAATATAAAAAGAAAGAGAGGGGCGCCTGGGTAGCTCAGTGGGTTAAGTGTCCGACTTCGGCTCAGGTCATGATCTCACAGCTCATGGGTTCTAGTCCCGCATCCGGCTCTGTGCTGACAGCTCAGAGCCTGGAGCCTGCTTCGGACTCTGTGTCTCCCTCTCTCTCTGCTCTTCCCCCACTTGTGCGCTCTCTCAATAATAAATAAACATTAAAAAAAAATTGTTTAGGGGTGCCTGGGTGGCCCAGTCAGTTAAGCGTCCGACTTCAGCTCAGGCCATGATCTCACAGTTCCTGAGTTCAAACCCCATGTCAGGCTCTGGGCTGACAACTCAGAGCCTGGAACCTGCTTCAGATTCTGTGTTTCCCTCTCTGCACCTCCCCTGCTCCCACGCTGTCTCTCTCTCTCTCAAAAATAAATAAATGTTAAAAAAAAATTTTTTTTAATAAAATAAAATAAAAAGAGACGTGGTCATGTTTACACCTGTTACCTAGCCTCATAAACAGACCTTTTAAAGGCTTAAAATTCTAACTATTTAAAAAGAAGCAAGAAAGGAACAGCGCAATAGTTCAGCCTTAGCCCAACTATCCCCCACTGGACACCTAGATTTTTCCAGGGCCTCCATTCCAGGGCTTTTCCTCTCACTGAAAGGCTGGTCTCTACCTGCACTAATATTTTATTATCTCTGACAGAGACAGAAATACCCAGACTTCCCATGACTCCAGATGCTAACATGGAATACATATTGATATCTACCATGGCACTCTTCTAGGCACTTGGCACATTTTACCTCATTTTCCTCATAAAGATGTCGTGGCGCCGTGAACATGAATAAAAGGAAACCTCACCACAGTGGGGTCTGGAGGCTAGAAGGGGGAGCCCTACCTCTCAACATCGATCACTGGAAGAACGCCAGCTGCAGATCCCAACAAAAGAATCGTCCACAGTAAGGAATCGTCATCCAACAGGGAGCGATGAGCTCTGCATCTCCTACCAGGAAGAGACCACGCTGGCAACTCAGCCGATGAGAAACCATCATCGCCTTCAACTCTCACTTTTCTCCAACGGACCTGGGATCAAACGACCCCTCCCGACATCCATCTTTTCCGGAGACAGTGTTCCTCTCGTTTGCCGGACCCTCCTGTGGTCCCGCCGTTGCCCGCACGTCCTGAACTGCAATTCTCTGCTATTACTGAATAATCCCATTTTTGCTGGTGGAAAAACTGACAGTTTATTTTTAAGTGAAGCATCAGTGAAGAACTGGACCGCCACACTCAAACCTTCTCTCGCAAGTAATCACGCTAGAAAGTGGTACAGCACACACGTTCGGCACTCCAGTACCAAACAGAGCCCGGTTCAAATCTTGGCTCACCCGTTCCGTCTCTCGGGACCCACGGAGCAGTAACAGAAATATGTACGCGCATTGCCCAAGTGAGCAGCGAACAAGACCCGGACCATGCTGCTCAGGGATACCACACCTCCTGATGTCCACAAAGCAAAGGCAGCAGAAGGCAACAGGAAGATTTTGCATTCCAGTGCACCCATTTTTGTCTTATTCCAACTACTGACAACCAGGGGCAGAGGAGACACATGAACAGCTGCACAGGTTATTTTAATTGTAAGTTAATGAAAGTCTACATTACACGTATTCTCTTACAAAATAACAACCTATAAGAGCCCGTGAAAACGGCTGAGCCAACATTACGTGCTGCTTCCGATACTTCCAAGAACTTCAACCGAACTGTCCTCTTTCCCAATGTAAAAGGAAGGCGGCTAGCTGCTTGCGGAAAGACAAGTGCCTGCGTTAATCAAGCCGACGTTCTGAACATGTTCTTCTTCAGTTCAGCCGTTTTCTCCTCGATTTTAGCACCACAGTCCTCTGCTGCCTTTTCAATGCCTTCATGGTACTTCTCCAAAGCAGCTTTCAAACTCAGAAAGATTTCCTAGGTGGAAAATGAGCTGGAGTAAGGATTATCCCATGCATCAAGCTAACCTGATAATGAGTGGCAAGAACTCTCACCATCTCGTTAATATGCATTAGTCATATTTTAAAGCCCCAACGATCGTACGTGCACACACACGCACGCGTGTACCGACTCGTTTTAAAAATTCTGCAAGCTGGGCAGACACATCGAAAAAGTCCGCTACTCAGAAGAAAGCAGAGATGTGCACAACAATGCCTTGGATTCCATGATGTCAAGAATGTATTTCTAATTGTCAAGGAAGAGTTCCTACTTTGGAGCTCTTCATCTGTACCAGGCAAGTACCTGGGTTACTGACTGTATATACCACTACACCCTGTGCATCTGGCCCCGATCACCACTAAAAAGCTGTGTACGCAGGTCTAAGAAGTAATCAGGAGGACTGGAAAATACATGGTAGAGCCGCTTTAATAAAGCCATCAGGTAATTCTAATAAGCAATAATGAGTTCTCATAGAAACATATGGGGATGGGCTAAGAATTTAGAAAACCACGAGACAACAATTTTTATAGATGGAATAAAATAAAAGAAGCCAGTTGGCCTCCATGCATTCTCTTCTCTCTCGTACTTTACATAGTATGATTTTGACCTTCCTATTATTCCTTCTTCTTGAACAAAACAATTCTCAAACCTCGGTACAAGAAAAAGTGGCATTCTGAAAGTTTATAGTTTCATCACTGAAATAAAATAGCAGACAGCAGTCCTTTTCCAATGGGAAGAAAAAGCAGTAAATGGGTGTGACGGGGATAATGTTCTTAATTTTAATCGTCCCTCCCATTAACTTTTTCTTAAACCTATACTTTGTCTACTACTGACCTTAGGGGTTTTTTGTTTGTTTTAAAACGTTTATTTGTTTTAAGAGAAACAGAGAGAGTGCACGTGCGAGCGATGGAGGAGCAGAGACAGAGGGAGAGAGAGAATCCCAAGCAGGCTCTGCACTAAGCAAGGACCGTGGACCGTGGAGCTCGACGCGAGGCTCAATCCCAGGACCCTGAGATCACCACCTGAGCCGCTATGGAGAGTCAGATGCTTAGCCAACTGAGCCACCCAGGTGCCCCACTACTTACCTAAGCTTAAATTTTAGTGTAGATACTGCCTGTTTTTGAACAAACTATATAGGTTATAATTTAATATATTGCAGTTCACAGTGTTTCCAAAAAGAACAAAACTATTTCCAGACTCTGACATCTATGCAAGTGTGAGCACTCCTGCTCAAGATTCCGTGAATATAAATAGATGCTTAAGGCTAAACACTTCCCCAAATCCAAACACAGATAGTTATTAAATCCTAATACAAAAATAGAAGAGTCTTATTTAGATTTCTAAGATCTGATTGGGCATCAAATTACTACAACTATGGGATGTGAATCATTAAGAAAATAAATCAAACATTTTTGAAAGCTTTATTTCTTAAGTCTTAAAGGAAAAACAAGGTGAATTAGTTGCTAGCTTGTGTAAACACCATTTTAAAAAACTCAGCACATTCAGCAGCCATAGATCAATTTACCTTCCCAGTTCCATAGGGATGTACATTTATTCTTACTAAAAAGGAAGCTGAATAAATTTGGTAGTAAGGCAGTACTCGTGAGAAACTATTAAAACTAAGTGTTTAAATAAACACACACAATCTAAATATCTGAACCCACCGCTTCAACACCCCCAAACCCCTTCCTTCTGAGAACAGACAGACTCTCACGGAGGAACCAAAGCCCACAGATGGAGCCACCATAAATGAGTGACGCATCAAAGCCCATTCCAGGGCACAGCAACAGAAGCAAGCCGACCCTCATGGCCCTCACAGGACGTTAATGACAAGAAATCACAGCCCAAACAAATGCAGTTTTAGTTTCCAATTAAATTCTGTATCCAGGGGCACCTGGGTGGCTCAATCGGGCAAGTATCCAACTTCGGCTCAGGTCACGATCTCGCGGTTTGCGAGCTGGGGCCCCGCGTCAGGCTCTGTGCTGTCAGTGCAGGGCCCACTTTGGATCCCCCGTCTCCATCTCTCTGCCTCTCCTCTGCTCGTGCACACACGCACGCACGCTTGCTCTCTCTCTCTCTCTCAAAAATACACAGACATTTAAGATAAAAGTCCTAGAAGGCAGGGATCACGCCTTCCTTAGTCACAACTTATTCCAAGACAGGTGTAGCACCTGGCACCCAGCAGGTGCACAGGCCATTTGGAGAACAAGTGCCTGGATGAATAAAGTACAGAAAAAACAGGGAGCTCCTGTTTTTTTTTTTTTTTTTAATTTTTTTTTTTTCAACGTTTATTTATTTTTGGGACAGAGAGAGACAGAGCATGAACGGGGAAGGGGCAGAGAGAGAGGGAGACACAGAATCGGAAACAGGCTCCAGGCTCTGAGCCATCAGCCCAGAGCCCGACGCGGGGCTCGAACTCACGGACTGCAAGATCGTGACCTGGCTGAAGTCGGACGCTTAACCGACTGCGCCACCCAGGCGCCCCAGGGAGCTCCTGTTTTCACCAGGGAAGTGTAACAACAGTGATATTCAGCAGGATGAATCTGGCAGCACTTAGGGCAGATCTGATGTAGAGAGTCATAAGTCAAGGAAGAAACTTAGCAAGTTTTTGGTACAATCCACGAGCATCACAGAATTTCGGGACAGAAAGGGGTGGTTATGAACAGTGCTACTGACTTTTAAAAAATCCTAACATTAACTTGGTGACTGGACACCAGGATTATCTAAACAAAGTCCAAAATTTCAACTCTTTGTGATAGAAAGTGATGGATGATGCCATCATATGAAGACATTGGGAAGAAATGGAGTAAAAGGGAAAGAGAGAAAGGGCAGAGGGGAAAGAAAAAGTGAGGAGGAGGAAGGCTGCTGTAAGATGCTGGGTGTCATGTGGATGTCACTCTGAAAATGTTATTTTTGTCGAGGTGGGCAAGCCCACGGAAAATATCCAGCAGGCAGTTACGAAAAAGAGCACAGTTGAGGTCACTGGACAGAACAGAAAGCCCGTGAGAAAACCCGTCCAAATAAAGGTGGTAACTGGAAGCAGAAGAGGTAGGTATCTCTGGGAAAAAAGGATATTGAAGGAAAAAAGGAATGTGAAGACCATTAGGGTCCCAGAGAATCGCACACAGCATGACTGGGCAACCGCAGTGCATCTCTTCCTTTCCACGGAGGGTGCTTATGAAAGAAGCTAAAAGGAGCTCTTTGGCAAAATGCATCGTGATTCACCAAGGATTTAGACGACCCATCCTGTTCAGAACCAACGGTTATCACAGTGCAGACTGGGTAAAGGTTAGAACCACCAGGCACCTTCAACAACTATCTCCGAAGTTTTGATCAGAGGTTCTCTGCCAGTCTGAAGGAAGAAAAACTTAACGCAGCAAAGGGCCCAATTCTAGTCAACATTCTCATTCTGGAGAAAAAGGCATGTTGGTCAAGTGTGCAGGTGACAGCTAACCCACAAAAAACAGTTAATGTGAGTGATACAAAGATTTCAAACGACCCTGATCCTTTGAAATCCACATTGAAGGAAATAAATGAAGCCTTGAAAAAATAGTAATAAAATTCTAAATTAAAAGTTCCAAGAAATGGCTGCATTAAAGTACGGGGAGACATTTTAACTAGGCAGAACTACATGTGGAAACGATAGGGGTCATTTAATTGATCACCAGCTCAATATGAGCCAAGGGCAAGCTGTTGCTCTAAAAATCCAAGCCAGGATCACACTTCATTAACAGGAGCGCCGTGCTCGGGGGCTGGCCACACCATTATTTGGAAGGCTATGTTTAGAACCAGGTCCTACATTTTAAACAGAATAATGACAAGCAGGAAACGGGGCGGAGTGGGGGGGAGAGACAGTAAACAGGATAGTAATGAATCTGAAAATTAAGCTATATAAAGAGTGGCTGGAAAACTGGGGCTCATTAACCCAGATGAGAAGGCTGAAGGAACCCACGGTCATTATCCTCAAATGTCTGCAGTGATATTAAGCAGAGGAAGATACAGATTTGTTCCAGAGAGATCTTGGTTCACTAGACTACAGAAATTATATTCTAAACTAAAAACGACAAGTAACATTTTAACAACCAAAGCTGTCCTGGTAAAACAGCTTGGGTGGTTATGGGCTCTGTGATACTGAAAACAATGAAGCGGAACCTATCAGTGGTTCTCAAAAGCCACAATAAAAAGTTCCAGTCTGTGGACCCCGTTGCTGAGGATTCTAATTCAGGACATCTGGGTGAGGGGTTGTGTTTATTTTGTAATTCCTCTTTGAATTCTAATGCAGAGCCAGTTTTAGCAATTTCATGCTAGAGGACCATCCAAGTTTACAAATATTTATGAAAAGCACACTACATAGAAGGCACCCGCCTAGGCACGGTTTCATGTACAATGATAAAAAATACATGATTGCTGCTGTCGAGAAACTTGAAATGTTACTGGCCAGACATCTCTGCGTTGCACACAGTAACATAAGGCAAGCAGGGCTGAGGGGCAGGAAGTCCTCCCACAGTAACTGCTTCACTAACTGTGCTTGACCCTGTGATAACAAGTAAATATGAATTGATTGAGTGATTTGGTTAAGAAGGAGGATTAAGGATCTCCTCTAAGATCTTTGTAAGCCACATTTTAGACATAAACAGAGGGACAAAGGCTGAGTCTTGGTGCATATCCAGGTAAGAGGCAGGAAAAAGAGAAGCCGTTGAAATCTAGAAAGAAAGGGAAGGGCAGAAAAAGTCAGGGCAGCGCACTGGGCAGACAGGCACAGGGAAACACAGCCCTTTCCCTTTCCTTTCTTGCTTCCTTCCCTCCGCAGGGGCCTCAAGACAGCCTTCAGTGTATGCACATGCACACCTACAAGTGGCCGTGCAACAACCTCTTTCAAGGACAGAACAGTCCCGAGAACGGGTGAGGGGCGTGTCTGCAGTGGCTTTTAGCATTCTGAGTCCTTGCAAACTGGATGTGGATGGTGGAAGGTAGTGACAGCAAGTATTTAAACATTTTTCAGGTATCAGGTTTTAGGAAACCTTGATCCAATATGGCAATATAAGGTGAAGGTAAGGTGAAGAAGAGTAAGGAAAAAAAAAAAGAGGTCATGGGATTTTACAAAGGGCTGTTTTCAGTGATTTCTGGTAGCAGTTTGGGCCAGTCTTGAGCATATAGGTCAAACTTCAAAAGTGAAGAGAAGATGAGGGGCTCCTGGGTGGCTCAGTCGGTTGTGCATCCGACTTCAGCTCAGGTCATGATCTCGCGGTTCACGAGTTGAAGCCCCACGTCGGGGTCTCTGCTGACAGCTCGGAGCCTGGAGCCTGCCTCGGATTCTGTGTCTCCTTCTCTCTCTGCCCCTCCCCTGCTTGTGCTCTTTCTCTCTCAAAAATAAAAAAAAAAAAACATTAAAAAAAAAAAGATTAAGAGATAATGAGCTCTAATAAACACATCAGAATAGATTACTTCTTTGAGACATCAGCAGTTAAGAAAAGGACAGAAGGTAAACACTTTATGTTTGGCACCACACCGACGTTTTGGAAGACACAAACGTGGAAGTCAAGATGTCTGTCCTCATTAAACTTGGAACTATGTACGAAATAAAATAAATACACTGAAACAAGCAAAGAATAAAACCAGTAACTTACTTTCAGGAATTGTGATAAAGATACCATTAAAAGTCTCCTCACACAGGGACTAACCTAAGCTATTTCATTTCACGTAACAACTCAAACACACTGAACACTGATGATAAATCATTTGGAGAGAAACTTTTTAGAGGACATTACTTACAATCATTATGCAAGTTTACTTATCAAAAAACGGTCAGAGCCTTTCGGGAGCACCTGCTCTTACTGCAGCAGGCCAGGGGGAAAGACCAGTGAAGAAAAGGTATGAAGGAGACAGACAAACACACACAGGTAAATGTGGAGACAGAACCCAAGGACGTAGGAGGTCAAGTTCTGCTTCAGAGAATGGACAGACCCTGACGATGAGGGTGACGGAACCGCCACTGTGAGCTGGTAGACGATGTGAAATTCACTTGTGAACACACACTCACCTGGGACTTCAGTCTCTCCCTTTCAGTGGCATCTTTCAGTTGCTGAATTCCCAATTTAATCTTCTGGATTTCTTGGTTAATTGTGGTTACTCGCTCATAGACAGCTCCTCTTTTTTCTTGAACTTTATTGCAATCTCTAAAGGAAAACAGAGACAGCTAAATTTTAATTCCACTCAAGCATCAGAAAAGGAAAACATTAACTCTAATACTGACTCCGAAGTGATCGCATCGATTTGTTTGACAAACCTAAACCCCTTCTCAAGACATAAAAGCAAATGGATGCAAACTCCGTGTGGTGCAGCCCCCGAGGGCTATTATTCAAAGCGGAGACTTGAAGTTACACTCCCCCAGGTGTCTTCACTCCTGTACTACGGATGGGGATGTGAATCAGTACAACTTTTCTGCAAGGCGGATTGGCCACAAATACAAAATCCACCGGTTCTGCCCTTTTTCTTCATCTGCATGAGGAAGAACAAAGGAAATCTTCACCATATACAGGCTGAAATATGGATCTTATGGGCATACGTGCTGTGCGTACTCTAAAAATACAGTCTCTGGGCACCTGGGTGGCTGAGTCAGTTAAGTGTCTGACTTGGGCTCAGGTCATGATCTCGTGGTTCATGGGTTGGGGCCCCGTGTCGGGCTCTATGCTGACAGCTCGGAGCCTGGAGCCTGCTTCGGATTCTGCGTCTCCGTCTCTCTCTGCCCCTCCCTGGCTCACACTCTGTCTCTCTTGCTCTCAAAAATAAATAAATATTAAATAAACAAACAAACAAACAAAAGGGAACTGACTGGAAGCACACTGGCTAACAACAATAACATGCTTACTGAAGTATTAATTCTTACTAGATTAAAAAACGGGGGCAAAACAAAACAAAATCCTCAAAACAAAACATGGATGCTATAATGCCATAGCCCAGCTGGACTGTAAGACGGGCCAGGCGGTTCATCTTCCGAGAGGGCACGGAAATGAGCAGAGATACCAGAGGCCCTTCTGGAGAACCAGGCAAAGCAAACACTAGTGTGATGTACGGAAAAGGAAAAACCGAGGACCTACAACATCTCTCCATCCGCACACAGCATTAGGAGATTCATAATGAATTCATCTCTGGTCACCCAAAGGCGGGACCCCTTTTTGAGATTACAGGAGCTTTGGAATCTTAGGGAGGTGACAACATGCTAGCTTTCCCCGCTTATTTTCTCTAACACATTGAAGTGACAATGACTCCATACTCAATCACCGTGCGTTTGTACTGCTTGACGTCCTCGTGCTTCTTATTTATTTTGAATTGTGCTGTGGCAAGTTTTTCCTTCTTCCCAATCATCAGTCTTTTGAAGGAATTTTCTTCAGTCTTCAGTTTCTTCAGTTCTGACTCATCACTCTCAATTTGGTCCTCCAAGTTCAGGCTCTGCGTTTTACCACAAGGACGTAAAGTCAATACAACCCATTACGATTTACAAACAAGAGGAATGTCTATTTCTTGGATGAGCTCTACGAAGATACAGTTGGAAGATGAGAAAAACCCGGACCGTCCGGAGGGCACGGGAAGGCGCCGGGGACCCTGGGAAAGGACGGGACACCCGGCGAGGGGTCCGTACGGGGTCGCTCATCAGTGAGGATGAGGACAGAGCCGTGTGCTAGGAGGACCGGCCGAGAGGCTGTGCCGAGGGCGCTGGGCCTGAGCTAAGGTAGGAGGAACAAGGAGAAAGGGGAAGTGCAAGGAACTGTTACGGCAGGTGCACCTCAGTCTTTTCTTGCTGACTCCAGACGGCAGATAAGGGAGTACGTGCTTGGGAAAGATTACCCCAGGCAACCTCACCTTCTACCCCTCTCTTCCCTCAAAGAAGAAGTCCTTTGTCAAATGCAAAGTCAGTGATCCTGGGGACAGTCTGGATTACTATGATAGAGTGAAGACGTGAAAAAGGATTTTCAAGCTTCCAGCCTGAGAAACTTAAGTAACATTAGTATACCTCTGGAGCCCCAGAGCAGGGCCTACATTGTAAACCTAAATCTCCTTATAGACCCCAGGGATGGCGCATTTGCAACTGTTAGTACAGGTTTAAAATTCCATTACTTTTTTCCCCAAAATACACATGGCAATATGCCATGTTACTTAATTTATTATTCATCTCATCTGAAAGTTTAACATAGGCCTTCCCACTACTGTGTGCAACAAGAAAACTTTTGGGGCGCCTGGGTGGCTCCGTCGGGTAAGCATCCAACTCAATCTCGGCTCAGATCATGATCTCACGGTGCGGGAGATCGAGCCCCATGTTAGGCTCTGTGCTGACAGCTCAGAATCTGCTTGGGATTCTCTGTCTCCCTCTCTCTGCCCCTCCCCGACTCGTTCTCTCTTTCTCTCTCTCTCTCAAAAATAAAATAAGGTAAGTATTTAAAAACAAAAAAAGAAGAAGAATGTTTCGTTGCCCAGCATACACTGCCACATCTATTATTCTCTAGAATGACCTTGCTTTTCTTTAGGAAAATAGTAACAAAAAGTAAAAGCAAATCCAAGCAACTATAGTAAACCATTACATAATAAAAGCATTAAAATGCTACATAATACAAACCTCCTTTAAGATGTTGGTTAACTTTTCCCTATTATCTGCAAGGTCCTGTATTTTCTTCTGATATAACTGTACCTCCAGCTGACATGAAGGCAAGCACTCAACTGAGTCTCTGTAGATTTCGTATTTTTCCATCACTTCTTGCTTTGAGAGAGAAAACAAAACACATAAAAGCCAGTGTGATAGTCTCCTTTATGAAACTGCAGTACTGTGTTTGGTCTTAAACAATTTCTGCACTTAATACTGAAAGCTTAAGAGCAGAGAACAATTAAGTTTCTGGGTCAGGGAGAAAGCACTATTACTGACACGTGTCTAAGTACATACAATTATGCTTCCTAATTGCCAGATATCCTTGCACAACGGAGAACTGCCACAATTTTACTAAATCACTCACTGAAGTACCTTCCAAAGGTTATTCATGGTGAGTTTAAAAGAGTTCATGTCTGCTAATATTCAAACTACTCCTAATTACTCCTGGGCAATCGTATTACCAATGATAATCTTCCTGTTCATCTTTCTAATAACCATTGCTACAGCAGATTCTTTTTAAAAGATTAATTCGTCTCCTGAAATTAGAAAATGAACATGTTTACTACAACCCCTGGAACAACAGGCTTCCTTTCCTTCTCCCAGGGGCCCGTCCCCGTCCCCGCCCACCTTATTGGCCAACTGGACTTTGTCCTCAGTGAAACGTTTCATCAGATGACTGCTCACTTTTCTGTTGTCTTTTTCTTCCCAATTTGTAAATACTTTTGCATCTCTGAGTGTCATAGATATAACCTCTTTACCTCTCATGCACTATAAACATGTTCCATAGGTCTTCTTTTCTCTACAGATTTGGATTTCCTATCTTAATTTAAAAAAAAAAAAAATCTAGCCCAGTTCAAGATTATACAAATGTTCTCCTAAAATTTCTAAAATTAAGTTTTAATCCACATAGAATTTACTTTTGTAAATGGCACATTTTCTTCTTTTCTTCTAAATGAATGGCCAACTGAGCCAGAACTGTTTACTGAATAAACTACACTTTTCTTTTAAATACTCAGATCTATTTGTTGGCTTTCATTTCCGTTCTGCTGTCTATTCCTGTAACAGGATCTTAATGATCAGGAATGGCTGGAATAACGAATTCAGAAATAAACCAGAAATGTTCCTTTAATGGAGTTTAAAAACCCTGCCTCACAAAGGATGCTAAATTGTCCACCCACTTCTACTTCTGTCCCTGTCCACCTCCATCCATCTCCCACAGTGACCCATCATCTTTTTAAACATAAATTATATCACGTTCCAACATCCCCCTTTTAAACTAGTCAGTGGTATGCCCCGCTCCCACAGTAAAATCCAGCACCCTGAAAAATCTGCCTGGTGCCAGTTTTTCTATCATCACCTCATGCCATTCCCCTTCTTACGTTTAAGGTGTTATTCTTTGAGTACACCTTGCTCCCTTCTACCTCAAAGAATTTGCAAATGCTGTTCCCACTCCTCAGATGCTCTTCCATGCATTTAGTAGGATAAACATTGTTCATCCTTCAGACGTCAACATCAATTTCTACTTCCTTCCCCCTCTACTCCCAGAGTTCCAAAATATTAAATTAGACCACCATCATTGCATTATTTCAAAGAACCCCATATGATTTTGTTTGTTTCTCTTTTTGGCACTTTTTTAAAAAGTATTTTTAGAACAGTTTTAGGTTCACAGTAAAACTGAGTCAGCAGGTACAGGGATTTCCCATGTGCTTCCTACCCCAACACACGCACACCCTGCGCATTTTCATAATACATATTATAGTCTGTAATTATGTACTTGATTATAAACTTCATACCTTTCTCCATCATATAAAGTAAGCAGGTCTCACAAGGACAGAGAATTTCTATTTTGATCATCCAGCACAAGGTCTCAAAACTTTGTTGTATAATTGAACAAATGTCTTAAAAGCGTACTTCCTTTCCCTACACCTGCTTTAGAGAAGAGCTGTATCTTAGAGACAAGGGCAAGAAGCTTAAGAAAAAAAGAAGTGTAGATAAACTGGGTACCACAAAACTAACACACCATTAAGCAAGAGTTGCTAAAAAGAAAAAATACATATAGAGAAAAGCATTAAAATTTTTTTAAATAAAAAGGAAATTCACCCTGGAATTTTTAAGTTTCTGGACGGTATCTTTCATTTTTTCTTTATAATTCTTTAGTTTCTCTGGAGAATCCACAATTTTTGTTTTCAAACTCTCTTGCACTTCTTTCAAAGAAACTACGGACAATTTTAGTTCATTCTGTTAAGAAAACATATTTATATTAGATACAATAATAAAACTGGTAACTTACCATTACGACAACGGAAAAGGACAAAGGAACGGGGTCTCTGCTCGCCGTGGTGGGGGCGGCTGTACAACTACGACCCTGTCACTCGCCTGCGTATTTGCTCCCATTCGTCTGTGGGCCGAAGACCAAGCCCCTGAGCAGGACATTCAAGGCCCTTCGCCGTGTACCCCTCCCGTCCTCGCCAGGGTCCTCTTCCGCCAGGGCCCCGCTCTACCTACGACCTGCTAACGCCAGGCCTAGGCTCGGAAGATGCCAGCGATGTCTCTCTGATCAGCATGATCCTTCTGAAAACCGTCAGCCCTGTGCCGCCTGTGAGCTCCATTAATCCTTGGAAATCCTGCCCCCACTGCCTTTACGTCCTTCTATAAACAACACCATCACTGTTCAGGGGACGCTATCCGTATGTACTTCATATGTGTTGCTGACTTTGGCTGGGTGACCTGGAGTTGTGTAAAGTTCTTTTGTGTTCCCAGAGCACACACCAAGCACTAGCACTGAGGGGGTGATCGACACATGCTTGCTGAATTAAAACAAATTTCCTGGGGCGCCTGGGTGGCGCAGTCAGTTGGGCGTCCGACTTCAGCCAGGTCACGATCTCGCGGTCCATGAGTTCGAGCCCCGCGTCAGGCTCTGGGCTGATGGCTCAGGGCCTGGAGACTGCTTCTGATTCTGTGTCTCCCTCTCTCT